ACCAGTAACTTGTAGTTATTGTACATAATAGACCAATAATTGATTAGCGAGAACGTGGGATTTATAGAGAAAGTGATGCAAATATGAGTACATATTAGTTGTGTTCATTCATATAAATGGTCCATGGAGACTGATTAGAAAGTATATTTGACTTTTTTCAATGTGTGGCTTACCTTAGGTTCTTCTGATTGGCCCACTGCTTTGAAACTGACATTGATGAATGGTGCTGCATGTAAATTTTCTAAACTTGACATGGTGTTAAAGTAAAATGCTGCTATGTTACATTAGATGTTACATTATTATACTGTGCCTCTCAGCAATGCAAGAACAAGTGATTATGTCTTTGAATGGGGAAATATCAGATTCTCCAAAGCAATTAATTGTCATGTTTGGAGGCTCCAAATTTAACAACACACTCACACACACATACTTATTGAGTATCTACCCAAAGATAAAACCTCAGCATGAGCCTAGCCTTAAAGCAGTTGGAAACTACTGGAAACTTCTGGAAACTACATGCTACAAAGAATACTTCGTTTGTTAAAGGAAGGATCACTAAAGACTACTGATCGGACATGTCAGGACATGGATCAGTTTCTTCCTCCATTTCTCAAGTGTAAGTGCGTGCGATTAAAGTTGTTGCCTCGTTTACTCGAGCTTGCAAATGTATTTAATTGTGTACTGCATCAGGTTAACTCGCTATATTCTCATATCGCGTGCAAAGCCACGTTAAAAACCTGACGTGTGCCGCTTTGTTTACGTTCCCGTGTGGGAGGGCAATGTGTGTGCGTGTGTGTGTGCGTGCGTTGTCGTCCGGAGGAGGGTTATGTGTGTGTGTGCGTGTGTGCGCGTTGTCGTCTGTAGGAGGGTTGTGTTTGTCTGTGTGTGTGTGTATGTGGACGCGTGCGCAAGGACGAGGGCAATATGTGTGTGTGTGTGTGTGTGTGTGTGTGTGAAAAGAGCAGAGTGAAACAAGCTAGGAGATCTCCTTGCCAGTTCTTGGGAGTTTTTGCTCAATAAAATACTCAGTCGTCTGTATTTTCAAGTCCATCGTCTGTGTTTACATTCATCCACTGGCAGCTAAACTCCACGCCTACACTATCGAGCGTGTATGAACTGTGACTACTTCTATTTTGTTGATAAGCTGCTGGGCATTTCACTCTGTCTGTCGCATAAGGCAGTTAGTGTCGGCCAATCGCAGCAGGCTGTCATCGGTCCAATCAGCGCAGATTAGCTTCGTGCTAAGGAGGGGATTGGGACGATTCATATGGGAGTCGCTGGGATAATTAAAATAAATAAATGCAGATTATAAGAGCATGAAAGTGTTTTTTGACCTTGCATGCATATTAGACTGTTGTTGGAGACCCTTACAACCAAAATATGACCCTATTCCATGTATAATATGGGCTCTTTAAGCCATGTGTGCTGTTGGGGACATTTTCATTCACTTAGAGTCTTAATTTGGCCACAACTTTCTCTGTTATTCAGCAAATGGAATGATTTTTCTGACAAATCTTATCTTGACACATATTTTGGGAAAATGCGTAGAAAATTTGCCAAACTTCAGCAATATACTCTGTGCAAATTGACTCACCTTTGGTTATGTTGAGGGCTGTTTTTGCCCCATTGACTTCCATATAAAACACATTTTATTGTAAAGTTATGACAGCATATGATCATGCATTCCTGATTGTTGCTGGTTTTCTCTGTTGGAAAGAGGTAAAGTGTGTAATTTTTACTGTTAATCATAAGTTGCAGTGCAAAAAAGCTTAATTTCTGCCTTCTATATGGAGTACAGTGTGTGTGATTGAGTGAGTGAGTGAGTGAGTGAGTGAGAGAGTGAGAGACCTTTGTGCAATCAAAATAATCCCCTCAACTCTAAGAACACAGCAAGTGTATTTCTACACACACACACACACACACACACACACACACACACACACACACACACACACACACACACACACACACACACACACACACACACACACACACACACACACACACACACACACACACACACACACACACACACACACACACACACACCTGCTGTTTTACTTCACTAAACTCCATATAAAAGCCTAAAAACTCTTTAGCACAGGCCTAATCTAAAGGGTTAATGCTGCCAACTGATAATCAACATTAAAAATAACACAGACTGTCCCTCTTCCCAACAGGGAAAACCAGCGACAATCATGAATGCATGATCATATGCTGTCATGGCTTTGCAATTAACAAATGTGATTATAATGGAAATCAAAAACAAACACCAACATAACCAAAAGGTAGTATATTTTAAAAGTACACAAGGGTTAAAGCAGTCCTTTGAGCAAGTCCATGTACAATTTATAGAATTCCTGGACACACTTTATTTTGATGGTCCGTTTGTTGAATTACATTGCATTGCATCTACATGTCAACTAATTCTCATTAGATTATAAGTAGACTGTTAGGTTGGGGTTAGTGAAGTTGGCATGTACTTGCAAAGTTTCTTATAGTCAGTTAAATGTCTGTTGAAGGAGCAGTATCAACAGATATAAAGCAGACAGTCTAGTAATACTCAAAAGGACCATCAAAATAAAGTAACCGAATTCGCCATCACCACTCATGAATGTTTGAATTTACATGCCCAAAGTTACTATAGAAATGCATGTTGCATGCCCTTTATTGGCATCGCTGCACATGCGCATTGGTTGAAACGTCCTTTTATTCTTATTCATTTTACTGTAAAGAATATACAATAAAAAGGGTTTATTTTAATTGCATTTTCAATAGGAAACTGATTTTTAGTGACAGTTTTATTTTTTTATTGAAGGGAGACAGCTGGAGAGCCACATATTTTTGGTCAAAGAGCCACAGGTTCCCTACCCTGCTTTAGAATCAAGCTTGCCACAAACTAAAACCATATTACAAGTGTAGCAGTAAACATACTGTATATACCTACTGTGTTAGGTGTCAAATGACCCATTTATTATAAACTCAAAATAAGCCAAAATAATATTTTATTTACTTATCAATGCACACCTATTTACTGTTTTACATGCTATTGTCAGTATATAGTGGGCAGCATACTATGCACTACACAGTATACAAGTATTTTATATTATAATGTGATCATGCATACCCTAAGATATATGTATGTATAAGAATAAGGGTTGTGTCCTAAATAGCATAAATATTCGACACTACTCTGAATTTTATTACAAAATTTTTACAACAATTGGGAAAATGAAGAAAAGTGGATGTGTAAACTGAATTTGACAGATTAACACTATCATGTTTTAATAAAGCTCATTACAGACTAAAAGCCTTTGAGAAATGTAATATTTCCCATATATTTCTGCTGTGCTGATTGTCTGGCCTATGCATTTTAAATTAGAATTAAAAGTTTTGTTTACTTCTTTCTAAATGTAGATATTTTCTTATAAAAGTAAACATTTGCTTCTTTTTTAATTTTATATTCACACTATTGTTGCCAATAATAAACACTGAGTTTTTTTTTATTTACATAAAATTTGTTATACTAGTAAATAAGTGTGTGTGTATTATGTACGTGTATGCATATGTGTATACGTGCATAAGTATGCATGTTCGTTTGTGTGTGTGCACGTGCATGCATGTATGTATGCATGTGTGTATGCTTGTGCATGTGTCTGTGTGTGCGTGTGTGTGTGTGTCTGCATCAGTTTGTATATTTGCGCATGTATGCATGTGTGTGTACATGCATGCGTATATGTATGTTTATGTGTGTATATACACATGTATGCATATATGCGTGTGTGTATGCATACATGTAAATATCTCTGTGTGTGTTTGTGTGTGTGTGTGTGTGTGTGTATGTATGCATATAGGTATGTGTACATGCATGCATATGTGTGTGTGTGTGTGTACGTATGCATATAGGTATGTGTACATGCATGCATATGTGTGTGTGAGTGTATGTATGCATATAGGTATGTGTACATGCATGCATGCGTGCGTGCGTGCGTGCGTGCGTGTGTGTGTGTGTGTGTGTGTATATATATATATATATATATGCATATTTGCGTGCGTATGCATACATGCAAGTATCTGTGTGTGTGTGTGCACGCATGTATGCATATAGGTATGTGTACATGCATGCATATGTATCTGTGAGTGTATATATGCATGCATATCTGCGTGTATGAATACATGTATGTATGTATACATGTATGTATTTATGCATGTGTGTGTATGCATGCATACATGCATGTATGTATGTTTCTGTGTGTGTGTATAGCCATGTATGCATATATACGTGTATGTGTGCATGCATATATGTATGTGTGTATATGCATATATGCAAGTATGCATGCTTACATGTGCGTGTGTGTGCATGAATCTCTGTGCGTTTATAAGAATACTAGCAGGCTTATTTGTTACCATTAAACTTTTCCTCTGCCTTTTGTTTTGTTAGTGAATTTTCCTTTAATCTTACATCTCATTGGTGTTTGATTACCTACAGTTTTAAATACCCACAAAGCTTTTTTTAAGTGTTGATTTCTGCCAAACTGCATGGAAACCAAAGCAGGATCCCTAAAGCTGGATCAAAACACATCCGTGTGTCAAAACCATGCATGTCTCCCTAAATGACAAACCAGTGTCTTTAGCATAGCTTTTTAACCACCCCAAAACATCAGCAGATTGAATTAATTAAATGAAGCTCACCTTAACTTTGGCAGTAGTTGCAGCAGCTGTAATCCTGGAGGACAAAAAGAAATATAACAGCCATGAATAAAGCATAAACAATGCTGGAAAACCCTACTGCTGTGTGTTTGAACGTTCAGAGTTTGTGCTGAGCAGGAGGCGTGTCCAAGTCTGATAACCAGGTGAACACAATTAACACTTGATCACTTCAGTCTGCAAGTGCACACTAAACATACTACTCACACTAATACTGCAGTCTGCAACCAACCTGCTTCAAATACACCATGCAACAAAAATGTTTTATTTTTTTTTATTTATTATGTGTTCAGAATGCAATTTAGACATTACTTTTCATAGACAGAAAAACTCAATTAGATGACAGCAATGTAGTATACTACTGTCTGATGCATGCATTTTTCATACTATTTTTAATAAACAACAGGCACCATTTAAGATTTCACAAGTCCATAAAAATAAAAAATAAATGATAAAAAATAAAATGATAAAAAATAAGAAACTTTTTACAAGATTTTTGTAATTGTTTTCACAGCAAAACACAAGAATTTAATCGTAAATTTTGAGAAAAGACACATTTTTTTCAGTCTAGGCTGCAAATATATACATATATATATATATATATATATATATATATATATATATATATATATATATATATATATATATATATATATATATATATATATATACATATATATATATATATATATATATATATATATATATATATATATATATATATATATATATATATATATATATATATATATATATATATATATATATATATATATATATATATATATATATATATATATATATATATATATATATATATATATATATATATATATATATATAAATATATATATATATATATATAT